CTGGAAAGCAAGAATTCTAGGCCATTTTTGCACAGTATTACCAAATATTCCGTAATGTAACATCAAAAGAAATACACCTATCATGAATGACATCAACACATTTTTGATCTGCTATTTTAACTTCTCAGATAACGGGCATTGTAATAGTTGTTTCTATTTCTTTGCAACAAAATATTAACCTCTTTAGATAATACTGAAATTCTCCCAAAGCACGGTTTTTGAACTGGTAAGATAGTTAGTGGTGCACAGCTCACCACGGTGTAGTCTTGTCTACCAAATAGTAACTGGAACAAATAAAGAGGCCAGCTTTTACTGCAGCATTATTCATGGGTGGCTCTAGTTGTGGGTGTGAACTCGTAGATGGAAAAAATATCAGAGGACTCAGTCTGCCATTGAGTGTATGCTGAAAAATACCACCACAAGTCTGCTTGGAGACAGAGCTGCATTTGTTTATGTGTACAGTTGTGTATATGTGAGGCTCTCTCTATTCCCAGAGTTCCAATTAGCTGCTTTAAATATTTGTGGTGTGCTCTGAGACAACCCACACATTTCCTTCACACGTGATAAGGACACTGGTTAAGATGTTCTCCTGTTCTTTTCATGCACTGATATCACAAGGGCTAGTGCAGTTCATGGGAAAAATGGATGTGAAGGAGTCATGGATGTCTTTTGTAAATTACTCTGCCAGATTGTAGCCAGAGCTATTTTCAAACAGTGGTAGTGGAGGAACTGCATTTCTCAGTGAGAACAGAAATAACAAAAATCCTAAATTTTTTTTGATAGATGATAATATGTATTACTAATAGGTAACTTACAAATATATAACTAATAACAACTTAAATTTAGAATTCTAGCTCCTTTTAATGTTATGATATGATAAGATAATGTGTGCAAATTAGTTTGCACTTAGTATATTAAATTTTCGATAAATGTTAACTTCTGATTGGTTTTGTGATAGTATTTTATTTTCAATAATAAATTTATCAGTAGTAATAAAAATTTTGGTGGTAAATGGTACAGCAGCCCCATTTACAATCTAAATTGCATCAGGTATTTCTTGATTTCTAGATAATTATTTTAATTGCAATTTAATGCATTTGGAAGGATTTGGTTATGAATGTCTAATGTCTCTTTAAAAATTAATTAATCATTGCTTATTTTTAGATTTAAAATCACTGTACTGATTTCTCTAAGGTTTTCTATAATTCCAAGTGTCATTTTTTAAACATGTTGGGATTTCCATGGATTCTTACATTCAGAAGCCAAATAACTGTGAAGGCTGAATTGGTGGCCCATTGCTCTTGAGACTTTTGATAATCCTGTTGTCCCATCATCATCAGTCTGCCTGAGATGTTCTCTATTACTTTCCTTTGGGTTAAAGCAGTCTTTCTCATCCTGTCCCCCTACCTCCCCCCTACTCCCCCACCTGAAGCATCCCTAGTAACAGAAGAGAGAAACTCCAAATTCCCATGAGATGCTAGTGTACTGAAATGTCAGCAGCAGCTTGACATTTCTTCCAGGCTGAGTTTTCAATGATCAAATCATACCTTAATTTTACATTCAAGGCCATCACCATCCCAGACTAATTTTAGTATTCGAGAGGTGTTTCAATTTGTAGACCACCAAATAAAATTAGTTCTCCTGGGTTTCTCTCCTTTCTCCTCCTCTCCCAAGGCAACTGTTTAAGAATTTTTGAGCATATTCTTTAGAAATGCCCTGTGACAGTACTCCTTAAATGCATACTAAACATTGATATCTTTAAATGGCTTAGCTGATCTGAATACCTTATATGTCTTGTAGGAAATAATACACAGGACAGTGATGTTTTGAGGAAGGTGATATGTGTAAGCTGGCTAGTTAGAAGGACTTTGAGGAGAAATGTAGCAGGGTAGAGAGAGGGATGCTAGTTGGGTAGAGGAAATCACTGCACGTAAAATGAGAAAAAAATCAGCACTAAAAATGAATGCTAGGATGGGGATTAACAATAAACTTCACCCTCTCTACAAAGATTCTTCGAATGAGTGTTTTCTGGTTCTAGTACATTAATCGGGAGTGCTCAGGGAGTTAAATCCTTGAATCACAGAATGGAAAGATGACCTCCATTCCTCCTACTTAAAAAGGTAGAAAAATTTTTTTACATAATGTTTCAATGTAAACTCTTCATAACTTAGTCTTTCATGTTTTTCTTCTTCTATTAGTTAACAGTTCAATTTCTCTTTCTGCTTTTCTTTTTTGCTTGTATCGTTCAGCCAGGATGTGTTGTCTCCTGGTTATCAAGAGATGATGTAGTCGTGTTTTGTGCACTGGCACAAATTGTTTTCTCCACTTGGCCATTGTTTCCTAGAGAGACTGACTTCTATTTACCAGAGCTGGCACCATCTGGCATTTAGGCCTGAATGCCACCTCTCAGACTGAGATGACATTCTGACTGATTAATTAGACATGTTTTGTAACCTGCTGCAGGAAAAGGATGTGAGGGCATTCTGCATTAATAGTATGGAGCTTGATATTTTTGCATGTTTCACAGTTCTCTTGCAATAAAGGAAGATACCTATTTTGGTTTTGTTAATGCTTTTAAAATGCTTGATGAAAATTTCAAAATTAAAAATAAAAAGGGAGCTTTCCAAAGTAATACTCTGAAAATGGGTATGGGTATAATCTCCTTATCAATACTTTGTTTTCTGAAGGCGTCTTTCTATTTGTAAAAACAGTAGCACTATACATATCTGTAAATCAGACTCCTGTAGATGCATTTTAAACAAGTTAGAAAAATTTATAGTAAAATATGTGCAGCACCAAGATATTTATTATAATTGTAGACAATGTTAAATTCTTTTCATATCACCTTATAGCATAGTTTACTTGTGATTATTTAAATCACAAACACCTTTTCAACATATTTTCTTTAATCTTTAGGACTGTGAGGAAGGCAAAAGGGTATTTTTATTTTACAGAAAAGAGAATGGGCCCAGAAGAAATTATTGTAACTAAAAGCAAAACTAAGATACTTTGACTTTTGTCCCTGCCAGTGTGTTCTTGGCATACCCTATCTTTGTGATCCTCTAGATTCCATCTCTAAGTTCTATTAGATTGCCACATAGATAATGAATTTCTTTATATCTGTGTTGTTTCCATGGGTAACAATAAATAGGAGGCTTTAATATGCTTTGTAGAGAGTGTATGATTTGCCTTGAAGAGATGCCATGTCATGTCATGGTTAAGACTACGGACTCTGGACCCAACAGCTGGATTGTACTTAAACCCCAGCTCTACCACTTAGCAGCTGCATGACTCTGAGAAAAGTGACTGCTCTGGGCCTTAGTTTTTGTTTTTTTTTTCCATTTCTAAACTGAGAATAAGAAAAGTGCCAGTCTCGTAAGAATGTGTGGCAGTGAATGAATGATGATATATGTCAAGTACAAACAAAAGAGTCCGCACCAAGTAACTTTATATTGTATTATTATTACTTAAGAATTGGATGTGATTTCACTTTTCAATGTCCAGAGGGGACTCTTTACATCTATACTGTTAAGAACTGACCCCCCAAATTCTGCTGGCATAGTGAATATTTTTCTCTTACAAAATCTGTCTATCTGACAGAGTGTGTGTTCTCTAGTCTTTAGTCTTAGTCTAAATTATAACATGGTGTGTGGAACAGAGCACTGATCCAAAGGAGAAGACCAATACTTTAGTCCCAGCTCAGTCATTGACCAGCTGTGACTTTAGGTCATTCATTTAACTTCATCAAGTTCAGCTTCTTTTCTCATCATGAGAAGGCTAGAATATACAACTTCCAAGGCTACTTCCAAAATCTCATCCCATGATTGAGGTAATTAAGTTTACTTTAACAAAAATATTAGGCGAAACCCTACTTATTCATCCCATTTAGAGAATTGGCAAATGCCTGTATGGATTTTGAAGAATGAAACATGTCAAGGCTTTTTAAAAAAAGTATAAGGTCCCTCACACACCTGAGGAAAAGTGTTCATCAAATTAAAGTGATAAAATAGTGTAACATGGATTACCTTGCATAAAATAGGTGACTTATCTTTTATCTGGGTCTCAGTTTTGTAGAGGAACTCTCCAGCAATCAGTGTCACCCCCACATCCTCCCATATTGTCCTTTCATTTTCTGGGTCACACTATCAGGCATCACTGTGAGAATAGAGAGAAGGGGGGCAGGGAAGAGAACTACTTCTCTTGTCTGTACACTTTGGAAACATGTTCTAGCTTCCCCACGCTTAATTCTTCAGGCTCCTGGACCAGCATCAGTGTGTACACTTGATCTTTATAACGATGAAACAAAATAAGAAATAAAAATAATGGGAAAAGATCTTTCTCAGACCTTGATGTAACTAACAGCTGAGGATTTCCTGTGATCCTCGTTTGCTTTTTGTTTTGATTGACATGCTGAGCCTCTGGAGCTTCTCTTTCTCCATCAGCCAGATGGGAATGTTGTCCTTGGGATGATGGAAAAGACAGAAGGAATTGTGGATAACTTATAATTTTCTAAAAGGCAGATAGCAAGGATAATCTCTCTCTCTCTCTCTCTCTCTCTCTCTCTCTC